TTTAAAACTGTAATTTCATGTAATCAATATTTAATTCAAAATAGCCCATAATAATAAAAGCAAATTATCCCACTTGAACTAATAAATATTCCAAAAAGATATCAAATAACATATTAAAAATAGAGATTTATCATCGTTATTTGGTAGGATTTTCAATATATTTCAACTTCTTAACTTTTGTTATGAAAATAAAGGAAATACAAGAGATTGAAGGAGGCGTGCAAAGCAGATAAAGTTATTGACAATGTTTTTAGTACATCACATGATCAAAAAGAGGATATTATATGTAAGTCTGTCATGCAAAAGAAATAAAAATTTGGCAAAAAATTAAAAAAGAGAAGACGCAACAAAAATATGATTATGTTCTCAACAATACATGAAAATTATAGATGTGTAGTCCAGACACATAGAATATAAGTTTTTATGGGATATGTGAACAGTTATGTGAAAATGAAAATTTTCACAAAGCCTTGTAATGAGTATGGTGAGACAAATTTTGTGGTGGAGGTAACTATTTTTACATATATTATTTATCTAGCAAGAAAAGAAAAACAAATATCCATATGTTGGATATTGTTATAGCCTATACATGTGTCTCTCTATATCATGGAATTTACATACGAATTTTTGAAGGATTTACAATGTCAAAAGCATATACAAGAAAATCACTCAATATATAAAATGTTATAATATGGGTATACATATTTGACTAAAAAAAAAAAAACGGATGAACAATTTTGAATGTAACTTGAGTACCAGATCAATTTGTTGAATGTGTAAAATTTCTAAATAATCAGTTTTTGCTATGATGATTTTGTCCATGAAAAGATATTGTATTTTATGAACTTGAAGTCTTATATATTTATTTTATGATTATATTTAAATATTTTGTTGATATTGCATGTTGTGATTAAGTTTCTGCCTATATGCAAGTCGATGTATAATGTATTTGAGATTTAAAAAGTTCAAAATAAATTAATCATGAGGATGTAAGATATATCATCTCATGGTGATTTTCAAGACAACTTTTCGTTTGTTATTTTCACAATATACAATGCAAGTGGAAAGTATATCAATGACAATGCAGTATGCATAGTTTGGCTAAAAAGAAGATATGCTCAAAAAAATTAAAATAATCCACTTAAGAAATCAGTATATTCTATTGAGATGAAATGTTAAAAGTTATATTATCATTAGTGGGAGTAAAGTGATATTTTCACTGAGCGGGAAAAATAAATGTTGTACTCTTTTTCTTAACAAGGTTTTGTCCGCAGAGTTTTCCTGGTTTTTAATGAGGCAAATTCAACATGTATGATGTATTCTTTTTCTTTCAGTAGATTTTTGTCCCGTTTAGTTTTCCTAGTAAGGTTTTAATGAGGCACATTATTTATTCATGAACATTCAAAAAGGAGTCTTATAAATATTGTAATATTAACTGTGGACGTCTATGACTTTCAAAAAGTTGTCTTTTGGGATTTTACCCTTAAAAGTCATATTAACCTACAAATAAATGACTTTTTTTGGGAGTTTTCTATGATTAATACTCGTAACTTCCAAATATTATATATCCTATAATTATTTAGATTTATTTTTTGTTATAACTCTTGAAATAGAATTTAAGGACTTATGACTTATAAATAATAGGCATGTACCAGGTGATTGGAAGCTTGAAGTGAATAAAAGATTACTTCATATTCTCCCCCCAATTCTCTCTTGTATTCTCCATCCCCCACTTCTCATCTCCTACATTTCCTTTATTTCCATAACAACTTTCAATTTGACATATTTTCAATTCCATTATAACTCTTACTAATTTTCAATTTAATGTTTTTTAAGAAGTTTGTTTAAACATTAGTATACCTAACTATTAAGTATAGATTTTCAATTTTCAATTTAATATTTTTAATGATGTTAAAATTAGAATTAAGTATAGATTTCGAAAAACAGATGAGAGATTCCTATAATTTTAGCTACCTAAAGAGATGTCAATGTATTTTATTCAAAATAATTAACAAATAAAATAGCTAGTTGGCAAAAAAAAAAAAAAAACATAAAAAGCCAAGAATAAGGATATTCTTAAGAAAGCAACGCAAAAAAATAAAATCCAAGTAGATTCCGATTGAATAGATGACAAAATTTGTATACATGTCATTTCACTTTTATTGCCATCTGATAAGTGAGAAAGGAAAGAGATGGCCATTGACCGAGCTCTACACATGCATTGCAACTATAAACACAGCTCAAACATATCTCACTTATCCACAAATGAGTGAATGGATCATCTCCAAACACAAAACAGAGAAATAGATCCATATGGCTTCTTGTACTGTTGATTCCGTCTCTTCAGCTATGAACAAATCAGCATCATATATATGCACAGACCACAATTCAGCTGTGATTACTTTCTCTCGGTGGATGTCATGTTGAATAAGTAGAATAGCAGCATCGCAAGGACAACCACAGCATGGACCAAGAATGAAAATATCTTGTGCTTATAATTCTACTGTTTTAGCTTTGTGGTCGGTTGAATGGATTTGCATAAGTTGGCTCCTCAAACTGCACTCTTCCACCTGAAAAGCAGGCCATATTTATTTTAAATTCAGAAGAAAACTGATAAATGTGGTAGCCATGTGCGAACATTCCTCCTGTATCTTTCTATATGAAATAAACTCCCAAAGGTAATAGATGATTGTAAAACTCACAAATTCCCCAAGTTAATATGAAATAATCACCGCCTCCCGGATAAACTTCCAATTGTTTAAAAGTTCCACTTTGAGAAGTTTCTAAACATTTATGATATAAATAGATACGCCGTAGAGGTCTCTATCATAGGAATATGCCAGCATGACTGGTTTCAGCAGGAAACAAACCTGTGATTTATATGCCCTTGCCAATAAACTTCCACATTCTCCAATAAAAGCTCTTTCTCCACCAACAACCCCGGCTAATTCTGAAATAGATATGTCCGTTTCTTCAACCTAAGTTTGACAGGCTTTTATCAGTGCAATGTCTAAAAATACAATCAACAAAGTACAAGTAAAAATGCAAAATACATCTACTTGCGTCCATTTTTCCAGCATAAGCTAGCTGGATTTGATAGAATAAACTTTCTGTTTTGTTTTGTTTTATTCAAAATTGTGCTTGTAATACACAAGATTGTGATACATACTTTTCAACCTCAGCTAACAACAAAAAAGACGTTAGCAAATAGTTTGAGAAAACTGTGTATTTTCTTGTAATTTTAATAGCAACTGTCTTTACGCACCTTGATGTAAATCTTTGGACATGGAAAACAATTGATTCCATCATCTTCATGGCTGAGTTTATCGCCTCCCCCACCTCCCTTGCATCAACCTGTGGAATGAATATTTTGTAGGTAAGTAAAACTTGCAGCACGCAGAACGCATAAAATCCAATATCAGAGACCCAGAAAAAGGTGTGAATGGATAATAGAGAAAAGAAGAGGATTCCTAATCATACCTTCACATTCCCACCTACTGGAAGTTGCACTGAGGCATTCAACAATGCCTCGATTGCTTCAGTCAAGGAGATAGAATACTCTACTTCTAAAGAGGACCACTCATCCAAATGAGGGATCTGTGATACGATTAGTGGAAAAAAAGTTAACAAGACCAAAAGAATGATCAAGGAATAATTTATTTTAAACAAATAAATGGAAAACCATGCTTGGAGGAAAGAAATAGACATCGTTATGTCAAATAAAATGTGAATTCTTGAAGAAACAAAACAGAAGATTAAATTTGATTAAGAAAAAGCAAATGGAAAAAGGGAGGAGTGGAAGAAACTAAAACAAGAACGCACTCTAATCATGACAAAGAAAACAAAATATGAGACATAATATATGTTTTAGAGAATTAACGTGGCCCTACTCTTCAAAGAGGCATGCTTTAGAGGATGCTAGTTTCTTAAAATTACAGTCACAGACATGATAAATGTATTAGACAATTAACTTGGCCCTACTCTTCAAAGAGATAGCTTTAGAGGATATTAGTTTCTTAAAATGACGTTCAAAGAAAAAGGTTATAGACTTAAGTAGTAATACCACAATAAGTAATAATAATTCCCAGAAGTATTTTTATCGTGAACAAAATATAGAATCATCTTCTTTGTACCCAAAAAAAAAAAAAAACTAGCATCGTCTTATCCACAAATTAAACACCAAGTACATGGTATTAACAGTTTGTGCTCTACAGACGGATCTGGATCCTCTCAGAATCCTTCTTTCTCCTTTTCTTCTCAGAATCTCATCTCCAACGTTGGATTAAATAATAGATGGTTCAGATTTAATATTTTAAAAAGCAGAGGTCCACCTTCCCTCTCCTATTTATGCAATGTTATAATAATAGTTCTATAAAGTATGAAATCTGAACTATTCATTATTTGATCCAAAGGTGGAGATCAAATTCTGAGGGAAAAAAAAGGAGAAAGAAGGCTTCTGAGAGGATCTAGACCCTCTACGGACATCAGCAGAGGCCTCAGGATAAGCTGCATCTTATGCATCCTTTAGAAGACATTAGTTGCTTAGGATTATGTGCAAAAACAAAATTTACTCTAGTATTGATACTGCCATGAGTAATGTAATTTCCAGTGCAAAAGCATATGCACAAAAAACAAAAAAACAAAAAGGCAATGCCCTATGCACAAATTAGATGCACAACAAAAACAAAAAAAAATTGCATCGGAAGTCTTACTTGAGCTTCAAGAATTGTTAACAAAGTCTTTGCTCTCTGCAAAAGCTGCACTTCTAAGCGTTTCAAGTTCACAGAATCACGTAACTCTGACATTTTCAATGCCAGAGAATAAAGTGCTTTCTGCAAGAATTACCAAACATGGAAGGGGAAAGCAACCAGAGAAAAGTGAGCAAAATGCCAAAGATGGGATAAAAGGACTTGTAATCTAAATCAGACTGATTAAAAGATCAAGTGCATATTATGCACGTAGAGTGAAATCCAGATGGTTAAGCAACAAAAATCTGGATAGTTAATCACAATAATACCTTCATGTATAAAAGTTCTCAGTACTTATGCCATAAAATTATACTTTAAGTAAAAGACTCAACATAAACTAAAATTAAAATGAGCTGTGGAAAAAAATTTGTCAATAGATCATATGTCACGGATTTATTCATTGTGCCACGTCTTTCATGAGATTGCTGGAAATTACAAAATTTCCTTTCAGACTATAATCTATATCATTTAGGCCTTTAGCCTTTCCTGTAATGAGGTTCTATAGCTTAAACAAACTATAGACCCACATCTTGCCAATCATCAAATCATGTCTGCTAAATTCTCCTTCAATCAACAGCACTAGAAGTTTAGAACTACCCACACAAATAATAAAGGTTTTCTCTTAAGCTATGAACTTGTTATTAGGTAAGAAACATAGGCTACACACCTCACTTTCTCCTTGCTGAGCTTTCAATGAGGATTCTGCTTTTGCATTGGCAAATCTCCATTGCAGATAACGATTATATAGCAATCTCAGGCTATGCACGATTTCCTGATGATTGGAACCTTTTTTACTTTTCTTTATATCTACCCCCGGTTTTGGACACGGAGCTACTGGGGGCAAACAAAGACCTCCAACTTTTGCAGAATTTGCATACTGCTTGACAAGAGAAGTCACATGTTTCTCACTGCCCCTTATGGAATGATTTAGTAAATGCTCACTGCCTGATAATGACGGGTTAAGAGAACGTGAGAAAGGTGTTGTGGGGAATTTCAAACTGTCCCCACTACTTCTTACAGCACCCTTATTGCCAGTTTTCTCATCCACTGATCTAGTAGACACAGCAGGCAACATTTCTCCCTCCAGCACAGACGACCGAAATTCTGGAAGTGACTGTATGCTGCAGTTGACCTCCGAGTTGCTATGATTTTCGTCATCAGAGCATACCGAAGAAGTATCCCCAGACACTGAATTGGTTTCCCTTTGGGGCGAACCAATGTTGCCCTTAAATGAATTTGCAGTGGAAGATTGACTTCCCGATGACATCCCACTTGCTTGCAATAGTTTTGAAGCAGCTGTGGCATTCATACTAGCAGAACGCTGATGCGAAATGAGTCTGTATCTTGAGGATACAGTTACTGTTGGAGTGTCCGGTCTCAAGGAGGGTGAGGTAAAACCATTTCCGATCCTCCCAGAACAGGACTTTGAAGGGTGAGGAGGTTGCTGTTCAACTCTTCCTCCTCCACCATTCTCCTTAAAGAGTTTCACAGCTCGTTGTTTTCTCTGTATAGTGGCAGTCGTATTTACTACATTTGATTTACACTGAGATCCAAAAGGAAATGGAGTTTCCGAATTTTCTATAGGTCGGTTCACATCAGCAGTACTCAAGGGATCTACTTCGGATTGCTGCTGCCGTGGCCGCCTCTGTACAGAAGATACCACAGGAGACATAAATCTAGAACTCACTTCCCTCACCCTAGGCCGCCGTTGATGAGAGGGCGAGGGCGGCGGCGGAGGAAGAGGAGGTGGAGGAGGAGCCGCAACATCCGTAACCATGTCCATCGCGGAATTGGACTTCTCTGTAACTTTGAGCTGCTTATGTTCTTGAATCATCTTCGAAGAATTTTTGCACAGCCAAACATTCAATTCACTTTCCCTATTGACGAAAAAATGGAAAATAGCCTTAGATGAGTAAGTTTATCTACGACAATTCAATTCTCCCAGAATTTGACGGGAATTCACAGAGAAAGCGTAAGAAAACTGAAGAATTACCAAATCGAAGTTCCGGTTTGAGAATTGATTTGGCATCGCCGAGTCTCTCTCTCACTCCGTTTGGAGTATATTCTTCAGAGGAGGGAAGTGGGAAACGGAGGGATTGAAGTTTGAAGTCTCAAATTCAGAGGAAAGCCAACCTATCTCGGAAGAAGAGAAGGTGTGAGCGACGATGGAATGGCGGAGGGGGAGGACGAGTGAAGGTCGTGTCCTAGAGGAAGGAAAACTAACCGTTGTGCTATCGTTGGCACTGCACAACGGTCCGAATTTCAAATCCACATCACGAGGTCTCTCTGAGGGGTGCGCTCTCACATTTTATCACTTGTTTGGTTGGGGCCCTCAATTTTTTTTGGCAACAAAAAAAAAAAGGCAATGAGAAAAAGCACTTTGGAATTTATTACCAAGAAGCCACACTATTTTCAATATTATTGTCATGATTGATCATTTATATAAGGAAAAAAAATGAATATGTTTTGATAAATTGTTAATTTTCGTTATATGAAGATTTGGTCCCAAAAAAAATGTTTATGTGAAGCTACTTGAAACTAAAACAAGTAATGGGCAGAGTAAAATAAAAGCAGTGAATAACATATAATCTATTGGGAACTATACTCATGCTGGACTGGGGGAAAGAGAGGGGATGGGAGGGAACTAGTTTAATAATAGAGCCATAAAATTTGAAAATTACCAAAATAAGGATCAAAAGTCTTTTAAACGGCTTGATACTCCTTTTTCTTAATTTGCAATTTCAGACCCACTAATTTGCAAGTCATATTCGTCTATTTATGAGAAAATAAAAAAATGTATGTTGTTAAGGATACGATAACTTCTCATGTGATATATTCCCTTATTTACAACTTTGTCACTACTAGTTTACTAGTGAGAATTGTCTATTTACGAAGGAGGAGGAATAATTTTCATGACTTCTAGTAGTTTGATGCTCATGTTCCTTAATTGCAACTTTGTGACCATTAATTTGCAAGTGAGATTCGTTGATTTGTGAAAGAAAATGAATCATTTGACTTATCAAAGGTATTATGACTTTTAATGGTTTGATACTCTTATTCCCTAATTTGCAACTTTGCAATCATTAATTTGCAACTAAGATTTGTTTTTTTATTTTTTGTAATAATCAATGAAAGAAAATGAACCATTTAACTTGTAAAAAATATTGATTTTTAGGGATTTGATATTCTTATTTTCTAATTTGTAACTTTTTAACCGTCAATTTACGAGTGAGATTCGTTGTTTTACTTCACTATAAGAACACTACTAGTAAATTCCCTTATCGATATACACGAATATGTCCACAGAATTCCAAGTCACCTCAGGGGGAGTAAAATGAAATATACAAGAACAATTAATAACCTGTATTGCGTATTATGAACAGCTAGAACACAACTTTAAATCAACTCATTCCAAATTTTGAGCAGAATTAACAATCTACATGTTTAGGTCTTTAGGATCAACTTGCCATGCTAAAGTGCCTGAAGTGTTTTTTTTTTTTTGGGGGGGGGGAATGTAAACGAGATAAGCCTCACTGTGCAGTTTGCGCACATATTCAAAACAACTTCCAAAAACAAAAAACAAGAGAACACAGAATTGCAAAAATTTATGACGACAAAAAAATACAAAGGATAGCGTAACAGGCGAAAGCTACTGAACAAGCCACCAAAAAATATGCAATTTGATGGGGCTTTCCGTCCACAAAATCGCTTTCCAGTAGACTAAGGAAATATAGATATGGACAGTAGAATTACATCAAGAATCAGTGAAGGGGGAAAAAGCTAGAACAATATAACTGACGAAAGGGGTTTGATTTCCACCCCAATTTTTTTTCAAAGAAAATGTTTACATCACAATCTCTTCAATCTTCCCTATGCATTAAATAATTTCCGGAAAGGTCCATCCTTCCGATCTTTGGCAGCTTCAGTTAGAGCAAGGAATCTCTTGAACCCTGTGGTGGCAGCTCCTCGTCCAAGTGCAGCAGCCCTGGTAAGCACATCCTCCCTAGAAGCCATAAGTCCAACAGAAATAGGACTAGGCCCTGATGGAGCTACTGGAGCAGCCTGGGAAACTGCCGGTGGAATCTGAGTTTGCTTTATTCCAGGCCCATGTTTGTTGAAGTCATCAAGAATGGTTTGCTGATCAGCCTTTTTAAGTCCCTGAAACCATGCCACAAAAGTTATCTGGAGTCTCGAGATGAATAACTTGCATAAAACAATCTTGGACATCTAAAACTCAAAAAACTTTGCATCATAATATCATCGACGAAGATGAGAATGAATCAAGTATAGATATTTAACCAATTGAACAGCTGAATGGTCAGTCAACCACATTAGATTGTGAGAACATATTCGATCGTAAATGTTTCGTGGGATTCATTGAAATTGCTCATTGACACTTCAAATTTTATGTACAATAGACTTAATGTTCCTTTGAAAGGATTGATGCTCTATAGAATCATACCAATGAGTGTAATTTACAATGTCAGTCAGTCAATACTTCAATAAACTTCCTAAACATACTAGTAGTAGTAGTAGTAGTAGTAATATTTGTCAGTCTAAGCAGTGAACTTTGTTAAGGGTTGTAGCTTTTAATCAAGAGATTCCTTTGAATCTACTAACACATACACCAAATTACCAAATAGTAATGTTTAATGCCACAGACTCTGAGCACTATGATACTTATTCTTTTCAAGACTATTCTTCTCGTTATACTTTTAAGAGTTTGCAATGCAATAACATTGCCGGAATATGAAAAGCATATATCCTCAATTGTTAAACTATGATTAAGAAAAAATTTTAGCAGTGGGCTCACTGTAATTTCATTTTATCCTGCATTTAATATAGCCATATAAAATGCAGTTTATGTACCCAATTAGAAGTAACTTATCACAGGTCCTTGACCTTGACTTACTCAAAGATGATGGCCCCCTCAATCTTTCATCTCAGACCAGGCCAAAGAAATAATGCAATAGAATATATGTTAGTAGAAGAGCTAACCTTGAGCTCCAGTATTCTCTGAAACTCCATGGGTGTACCCTCAGGTAGCAGTGCACGGTATGTATCTGCTACAGAATCAACGGGCGAAAGAATAACCTAAACAGAGTGATTTACACAACCTTGAATCAGGGAGAGAATCTAGACGTGCATGAAATAATAGTCTTCCAATCTTCCAACTAACTAATAACAAACCTTCAATAGGGCTTCTGCTTTGCTCATCTCACGACTTACAAATTTCGAATAGCTAGCAGCACCTGATGTCTGTTGCAGAAAATCAAAAGTTAGTCAGGATGATCAGCGAACAATTAACAAGCCCCTGACAAGCACAAGATAACTGCACATGTGAAGACTAAGAATACAATGCTCCATACTATTTAACACAGCCAAGCCAAGTACTCCCTGGGTCCTTTTAATAAGAATCCATTGACTAATTCACACGTACCAATAAAAAGAGTTAAAAGCAATAAATTTGTCATAAAATTAAGTAATCTCCAATCTTACACTCATTAATTACACTAAATTCCAACATTAAATTAATTTCTATTCTCTCACTACCCTCATTAAATGTGGGTATACGTGGAAAAAGGTATTTGATACTCATTGAGAAAGGACCAAAAATTTCTCCTAAAAGGGCTCTTATAATAAGAACCAGAGGAAGTACGTCAAAATCATAGATTGCAGGCAGGTAACCTTTGTCTAGCCCACAAATTAGATTATCTTCCAAGCATTTCAACAGAGCCAGTTTTCATTTCCTGCTTGATCTTGGGATTAATTCAGAAAATGCGACAATTCCTCTCTATTGTAGCTACTTCATATTAATGATTTGCACCGCACAAACTAAGGTAACTATCTGGCCATCTGTCATTCCCTAAATTCAATAAAACTAAGACATTTCATTTTCCAATCATCATCATTCGATTGATTCCAATATCAAACAATAGTCATGAAAAAGCTTGTTCTTTTGGGAAGTTTAATTATCAGTAGATATTGCTCTGCTCAAAACTAAATCAAGGAAGTGCCAGGAAGGCCATCAATATGTCACCAGTAAAGTAAGTGAAATCAGTGCCATAGAAGTCCGAAAAGTAAGTAATAAAAATATGTGATTCAGAAATCAACACAGGGGACACATGCGCCCAAACAGAATATAATTGTTGTGACTACAAATTTGCATTTGCATGAGCTAAATCACCTGTCTACCAAGGGAAGGAATTTCTAGAAGGATAGTCTTAACAGCTTGGGTATCCAATAGCATCTGCAAAAGCATCAGAGCATAAGCACGTCTCCATCATAAAATTCAAGACCTCATCAGGCAGCTTAAATTATTGTAAGACAAAATTCGATCAATTTTATTCTCATTGATGATGAAGAATATGAAATACAGAACAAAGCAAAGAACACTAGAAAAGAAAAAGATTTTCAAGTGAAATACAAGCTGGGAATAATGCATTAGTTTTCAATGTTTCTTTCAATAAACAATCTTCTGTTGGCATCAAGCACAGGACATTAGACGATGGTTTCATTCTAGTCGTCATACTCTCTCCCTTAAAGCCGAGGGTATGTTTGGAGGTTTTAAAATGATCTTGCATTAACAGAGAAGTCAGTCAATTTATCTAAATATAGATCAACAGTAAGAGGAAATGATAAGATTGTAGAAGGCAAAATCGATGAGGAAAAGATAAGGTAGTAGAAGGCAAGATTGGTGTGCACTAAATAAGTTCTCCACCAAGTAAATTATGCCACTAAACTCAGGGAGCAAAAAGATATATTAATCAGATAAATATTTAGAACAAGCCAAGTAAGTCTATCACTAGACCTCCCTATTTCACCCCATCCCCTCTCTACTTCAACATTCTGAAGGACTTTGAAAGATAATGCCTTTCATCTAGTTTAGCAGAACTGAGGTAAGAATCTAACATTTTGAAAGTAAAATAGAAAGAAAATGGGATAGGTTGGCCTAAACTAAATCCAGAACTTCATTACAGGCACTTGTTACTGCATTGGTGACTCAAATTCAAGCATCACTGATTTCAGAAATTCTACACTACAATGGAAATCAGCAATTGCAGCTCTCCCCGTTCTTTTACTATGAACTGCTCGCCCAAGAAAACTACCTTTCTTCCTCTTTTCCAAATCTTGACTGGGTATTCTCCAGCCAGAGAAAAGCATCAGTTAAGAGGGTGAGGACAGTGGCTTTGTTTTCATGTTTTCTTTCCTTTCCACTAACATTC